GTAGCACCAGAAATCGTTGCTGAGGCAGGGTGAGTCAGAGGAGTTACATCATCAGCTTCATGAATATTAGGACATTTGTTGTGAAAGAACAATGTTCAAAATCTCACTTAACAGCTGCTGCAGTAATTTTTGTTTGCTATTGCTAATTGCAGGTTTGTTTAGTCTCTCTGATACCTGATACCTTCCCTTTCAATTACAGATATGGCCTCAAGGTTGACATTTGGGCAGCTGGTGTCATCTCTTACATACTGCTGTGTGGCTTTCCTCCTTTCCGTGGGTATGTGCTATTAGGAGGCTTTCTTTGATAATGATGTAATTAAAACAGAATACATCTGTTTAATTTGTCTAAATCACATTGGTCAAAATGCCCATGGTATGCCATCACATTAAAGACAATTATGTGGAACCTAGTTTTATGAAATACTTGTCATTTCAGCAGCAGTGGTGAGGATCAGGAGGCTCTCTTTGAACAGATTTTGAGGGCCCAGCTGGACTTCCCTGCACCATACTGGGACAATGTGTCTGACACTGCAAAGGTTTGTGTCTAGAAGTGCTCTCCTGATCTGCTATCTCTGGGATAGACTCTGGAGTTTCAAATTGAGCAGTGATCTGTTGCTGTGGTGTCTCAAACTACATTATTATACTAGGTGCTTATGACTCAATAACATGCCTTTCTTTAGGCTCTAATCACTGAGATGCTGCAGGTAGAGGTGGATCAGAGATACACAGCTGTACAGGTGCTCGATCACCCCTGGGTCAATGTAAGTTCAGTGTTTAGTCCTTTCACCAGGATCACTCTTGTACATTCAACTGCTGCTAAGAAGCAGTATGCAGTGTGATACAGCAGGTGGAGTTGCTAAAGCTTTGTTCTTTGTATTTTCCAGGCTGATGGTGCATCAGAGAAGGAACACCAGTTGCCTGTGGCTGGGAAGATCAAGAAGCACTTTAACACTGGGCCTCGGCTCAACAACACCACAGCGGGAGTGTCAGTCATTACAGTAAGCATTGATATATACCCCTCCACAAAATGACACTGCATGCAGTTCTCCATCAGTAGATTCAATTTTGACTTTTTTATGAATCAGCTTTAGCGATGATGCTTTGAATGTCATTCAAAATTGAAAAACCTATAGCTTTGAATTTTGAATCAGTGTTCCCCATATGCGCTTTGCCTAACTCCTGAAGTGTGCAAAAATGTTCTGTCTTTATTCTTTGGATTTCATTCAAATTCATTTGTTTTAAGTTGAAGTTTTGCAAAGCAGCAAATAAATCCATTACCTTTTTTTTTTTTTTTTTTTTTTTTTTTTTTTTTTTTTTTTGGAATTTATACCTTGGCAACTTCTCTGGTTTATTCTGTGTACACATCCATTCATCCATCTGCTTCTTGCTGCAAGGTCTTCCTGTGTGTGCTCTGGCCTCTCATCCTGTTTCAGATGGACTGTCAGCACTGTTGTTAGGAGATCTTTATAAATAACAAAGTTGGCCTACAATGACTTGGTTTCAGTAGATGTGATTTCTTGAGTAGTTCTAAAGTTGAGCTGGATTTGTACAATTGGCAGAAAGATGAAAAACTTATTCTGGAAGTCAGATAATGCCTAGTTTTTACTATTTGCCATTGATGGGGAGAGGATGGGGGGGGGTGTCGGTTGAATTCCTCTGCATTTCTCGTGTCTAGCATTTTTATTTACTTTGCAGGTAAGCCCTGCACTCAGTTGTCAGTAGCCAAATGGAAAAATTTCTGATATTTCACTGAACTTCGGTTAACAGTGACATGACATGTCTCTTCCAGTTTTTTCCTTGTCATACCAGCAGTTATAACAGAGTTGTGCGTCTTAATATTAATCAGGTCAGTGATTCTTTGAGTTCAAGGTGATGCGCTGAGTTGCACTCATCTCTCTCTGCTCAGCCGGACCAGGACTTTACCATCCAGAGGTCAGGGTCTTTGGACCACTACCAGCATCCAGGATTGTACTGGATAAGGTATGACACAGCATAGTGCCTAATATGCAGTGCTTCCATGGCAAAGTGCTGGCAGTCTCCATTTCCCATCCCCCCCAAAGGATTTGACCCATTGCCCATCAATGGAGCCCTTTTAATGGCTCGCCCTAATTTACCTCATCAGATTCATCACTTTATCACGTTATTTCATCTCACTAGTGCTGTGGCTGTTTCCTCTCGCCTGGTCGTGCTGTTTACTTGCTATTTACTTAATCTGCATAGAGAAGTTATGCATCTTAATGCTACATGTGTTTGAGGGTCCATGTGACGCATTGAGCAACTGGATTTTGTTTCATGATCTAAATGCATTTAGCATTAAGTGCTAAGTGGTGCCACTGACACACAGATGAGCTCTGCACTTGTTTGCAGTGTTTGCAGTGTCATAAGATGAAGTTAAACATCCTCTGTCACAAGAACTTAAACCTTTTTAAGGAGAGGAGGTTGTGAGGCAAATGCAGTTTTTCAGATACAACTGCATGCTACCATTGGCTGAACTATATTTTAACAAGTGCCTCTGGTGGTTGCGTGGATTCCCCTCCTCATCTCTGTGGTCTTGTGGAGAACCTAACAGTTGCTGCTGTGTCACCCTCTCTCAGACCACGCCACTTGATAAAGAGAAGCAAGTTTTCCGACGAAGACGCCACCAGGATGTGAAGTCTGCACCCAACCTCCCACGCAGTGTTGGTGCCAGCGCCTCCCACAGTGCCAACCCTGGCATCTTCCCTGTTGACTTCAACTCTGAGTCTGAAGACCATTCCCCAAGTTCGGTTGACACTGTCCGTTCACCCATCTCTCCGTTCTAGCAGCCTTCCTGAGGGCACAGCACCGTCCATCCCTTCAGAGGGTGGAGTGCAAAACGGATCAACCCAACATTGGATTCAGTCTGCTGACTTGGACATTCACAGACTGCATATTTACCTGTACCTATTTTTTTTTCCTGTCATAGTACTTTTATTTCAAGTACAAAATACACTGATCAGATAAAGGGGCAGTTAGTCTCTGGATCAAAGAATACACAATAAGAGCATGCAACAATCTTTAATATAGTTTCCCTTTTCTTTCTTAAAAAAAAAAAAAGCCACCAAACTATATAAGCCTTATTTCTACACAGCAAGCACTGGTTCATTGTAGTACACTAGGGCCCTCTCCTGGTTTATATTGTACACTGCAGGAAAGATGGCGTGCTTCATCAAGCACTTTGCTTTTTAATGGAGGGTGTAAATGCAAGACATTGAAACCTTTTAGCTTCTAAATATTAAATTACATAACTTTGTGATATGACAAGTTTGGTGCATATCATTTACTGTATGGACTTAAACACAAATGATTGTTTGATAATAACCCTCACAAAACAGCATTAATTGTAACAGTCACCTCTCTGTTGTACAGTGTAACATTTAGGTTACTTTGCTGTGGTACTTGAGGTTCTGGTGTGTAAACCTTAGGCACTGTTTAAGAGAACTTTAAGAGGACATGCTGCTATTATTGTACCATAAGCATTATCTGTACTGAACAGATATTTTGTAGGATTAGTATTGTCCTGCCACCCAGTAGCTTGCCTCATAGAGAATTGAGGGCACTTATGTTTGACTGTTGATGGTCCAGCTTACCTGTGTGCTTGAGGATGATTATTTAAGCAGTAGCTTTGTTACATGTCTTTGAGAGTGTGGTTGTAATTTGGTGATGGTGCAGATGAATCTTAGTGCTGTGTAGCTGGTAGTAAGTGCATGTGTAAAACCTTGCCTTGGCACATGTGGATTGACGTGCAATTAGGTGTACTGCCCAATGAGCACAGTATCAAATTTGTCCTTCACAGGCTGGAGTAAGTGAGAATGGATCTGTTGCTGGTATTATTGGTATCCAACTGACGCACTTCTCTATCACAGGGGGCAGTTAACTCTTGTGGAACATCGGGGTTTTTTTTTCACACACAGATAAGAAACAAGTTAAATGTTGGTAAACAGCAGTGCTTCCAGTAAAATCCATTATTTTAATATTTGTTCATACAGAAATTTTGTTGAACTTTTTTAAATAATCGGATCAAACAACATAATCAAGACCACTTCATACATTGGGTCATCAGAGACAAAATATTCATGGATGTGAATGTCCGCTTCTGTAACCTGCATGTCTGATAATATGCATCCTAACTCAGTTGTTCTGGTCTTTTACTATTCGATATACGCCTGTCAGATATGAAACCATTTCTGTTGTCATTGTTCATGCTGTCTTGATGAATGCAGTTCAGTTAAGGCAGACTATAGCCATTCATACTACAGTTGAGTTAACTTGTATATACGTATTTTAACAGAAATGTAATATCCCACCACTCACTTTGTTGTTAAAGGGCTTCTTAGTTTTTGACCTGAAGGGGGTGAACCATAAAGCACAAAGAAAGAAAGTTGTTACAGCAGCTTTTTGGGATTGTTTGTTTTCAAGACGGTGTATGATTTTCATCATCTGAAAAAACATGTCATGTTTGTATACAGTTTGACAAAATGGTACTCAAAGACAACTGGGAATGTCACTGTAATGTGGAAGCAGATGGAGAATGTGAATGCTGTATTATATTCATCCATATTCCATTAATGTAAGAACATTATAAAACCTGCATAAGGAAAAAAATGGTTATACACTTCTTTTCAATTCATTAGAAAAAAAAATATATAGTTCAAAGCAAACATCCACCAATGTACTCTGCAAAGAAACTTAACCTGGAAATAAAAAAGATTTAATTAATCTGGGTCAGCAGTTTATCTCCATGAGTTGCTGGATAACTGTTCTTTATTGCAACAAATCCAGACAGCAGATGGCAGTATAACCAAACACTGAACGTATGTCTCCAGTAAAGTTCCACCTTCAGTTATTCATTTATAGCATTCATTTACTGAGCTATAGTTATACACACTTTAATTGGAATGCATTAATACCTGTGTGAATCCTTCAGATGCAGTTTATACTCCTACATGAGTAAGATCTCAACAAGAAATACTCCTGAGACTGATATTTATTCAGTTTTATTAAAAACAAAAAAATGATAGCAGTTGAATTTAGTTATTAATTTTGATATAATCAGATAAGCTTCAAACATATCCTACCTTTTCCAAAATGTATGCAAAATTAATCATAACCTATCTTAAAATGTTACATAAAATCAAAATGCACAGCTTAATGCCAACATTAACTAAATTTTTTTTTTTTTTTTGTCAAACAAATGTAAATTCACGACACTAAATGATTTCACAGGAAAGCAAAGTGAACCCAATGCCTTCAGTAGCTCTTAGCATGCAAACTTCAGCTTTGGGTAGGGTGGTGTCTTGTAGCACCACTAGAAAATCAAAATCCAAAGTCAAAACCATTTGCATATTTTTGTTCATTTTAAATTGTCAGCTCACAGTGACCGACTTCTCATTTCAGCAATTAAATGCAGACACAATTGCTTTCATATTACCAAAAATAGACCGTAGTCACTTTTGGAACACTCGCCTGTTCATCATTAGATAATTTATTGTCACGCAGCTGAAAACCTTCCTTAGACCTTTTCTGCAAGTGATAATAGTTCTTACCAATGCATGGTGTTACAGAATGAACCTGTGTTCATGATTTCACCGATTTAAAATGAAGGAGCAAACATTTTGCGCTAAAATAGACAAACAGAAAATTTGAGTATTACTGTTTGCAGTTCCAACAATTGTAGAACGTCTTAAAAATGACACTTCCTTTTTACAAAATGTCTCACATCTTTACCACAAACACGTTAACAGTCGTGAAACTATCCAACAAATCTATTATTTGATCGTCTGCACATTTTTTTGGAAGAAACTGAAATAACAAAAGAAAAGCTTGATAACTGCTGTTACAAATGTCCCACTTGTATCATTTCAAGATCTTACAGTCAGTAATTTTATTTCTTTGCCATTAATAAACAAAATAGTCCTCATTTTAAAGTAAGTATGGAAATATCACAATTATCCTCTTTGACATAATAAAAAAAACAAATACTTCACAAAGGACTAAGCTCACACTGAATTTGACTTTTCTTCCATATAGACATTTAAACACAACAAATTAGCAATGAACATTTTGTCTTTTCACATACACATACATTTTGACCACTGTAAATAACAATGAGCAAACAATGGTCATATACGTATATTACTAACCAACTAATATCTGTGTGCAATGAAGACATTTTGGACATCTATACATGGTTCACATGATTGAAATGTCGTTAACATGGTGGCTAGTCTAACAGCATTTAGATCTTTATCTCAACCTTTACAGGAAAGAAACACTTTACACTGTCCATATTTACAGGTTAGCTTTTTTCCTATAAAAGTGTTCCAGTTGAGATATGTATCTGTCATACAAATGTTGTATAAATGCTCTTAACAGAGGATTCGTTTTGTTTTGCATTTTCACAGTTTGAAACAGGAACTTCAAAGCTTACATTAAGTCTGTTTTAAACTTAACTGTGTAATTGTGTTAACTTAAGTTGATCTCAGTCTCTCCTTGTCCAGAACTACACACCTGCTTCACTCAGTTGTGGAATTGCTTCTGCTGGTGCTCAGGTAAGACATGAAAACCAACACAAAATGTTCAGATTGTTCGGCAACAGACAATTGGCAACAAGTTCAGATGAACATGTGGGCGCACCCCTTGTTCTTTATTAGCTACACCATGCTGATGTTCTCCAGTCCACTGGATCTCCTCTATGCACTGTGGGTCTTCAGCAGCACTGTCCGGTCACTGGTTGGTAAGTGTTCCTCTTAACCTTCTACACTTGGCTTCTGCTGCGTGGATCTCTCGCCTCAGTACCTGTTTTGATGCTCATAGTGCCACCGGTTGAAATCGATATTAAATGCCACAATACTGCCAGAGGCCATGCCTGTGATCAAAGTCCTGAAGAGAAAAAAACACCATGAAAAAATTACATGAAATCCCAATTTCAGCAAACAAACGCATTTAGTAAAATGTAGAAAAAAAAAAGAGATTATTTCCATGTATATGAACATTTTGTTAAAATGCCCATTGTGGTGAATGAAACAAGCGCAGTAGGTCATCAGGGGCTGTGACAGTAAATTACCAGGTTTCTCTGACAACTGAAATACCCCATTGAGTCCTAGTGTTTTTCTGAAAACCCTTTGCCCTTGTGTCCACGGCTGACTGGTATGTAGGAAAAGCAGCTGATTTCACAGGGTCATCTTATACTACTACACCCCAAGGGCTTAAATGCTCAAGCACAATGAACAGAGCTGCAGCAGAATGCCTGTCTGTAAATGGTGTTACACAGCACGGCTAACTAGTGTTACCTAATGTCAACCTACTGAGGGAAAGAGACTATGACTGAATCAAGGGGTTCTTAAAATATTTCACTTAAGTGATTTGTTAAGTGATGGAACAAATGTTAAATAGCATGTCGTACATAAATTCATATTTTTAGCCCGTGATGTGAACTTTATCGTGATGATTATAGGGATTGACTGATAAGGTTTTTTTAGAGCTGATTCCGATTATCAGTAATCAAGAGGACCTATATCTGATATTTGGAACCGATATGCCAACATAGAAACTACTGCTGTATAAGGACACTCACCATGGCTTTCAGGCGTTTCTATTATTTTGTCCTCCCCATTTATATTAGTGAAAGTAGGCTAAATAACAGAAACATCTCTGTATAATGTAATACAGCTACACACACTACATCCTCCATAGCAACTGTGAGGATTTACGGCAGGAGTGTTGTATAAGACTACATTAGTTTTAGCTAATAAACTGACAACTGAGTGTATATTAGGGATTATCAGTTGTATGCACAGGCTGCAAAGAGCCTGACTGGAATTAATTGTTTGATTTCGGTGCTGTTCTTACCTGTGAACTGATTCACCTGGCAGACTAAATATACTCTTTAATTTAATATTACTATCAAAAAATAAGATGTTTAACCCCTCCCCTTTTAAAATGTAATGCATTAACTCGTTTACTCAGAAATATTTTATGTTATCGGTTAAAAAAAACATAAAAAGTCATGGTATAGCAAGACATAAAAATGTCAAAACGTCATAGTATAGTAAGGCATAAAAATGTCATAGTATACTAAGGCATAACCTCAAAAAACCTCACAGTATAGTGTGGCATAAAAACATTAATAAAAAGTCATGGTATAGCAAGACATAAAAAAGTCATAGTATACTAAGGCATAACCTCAAAAAACCTCACAGTATAGTGTGGCATAAAAACATTAATAAAAAGTCATGGTATAGCAAGACATAAAAAAGTCATAGTATACTAAGGCATAACCTCAAAAAACCTCACAGTATAGTGTGGCATAAAAACATTAATAAAAAGTCATGGTATAGCAAGACATAAAAAAGTCATAGTATACTAAGGCATAACCTCAAAAAACCTCACAGTATAGTGTGGCATAAAAACATTAATAAAAAGTCATGGTATAGCAAGACATAAAAAAGTCATAGTATACTAAGGCATAACCTCAAAAAACCTCACAGTATAGTGTGGCATAAAAACATTAATAAAAAGTCATGGTATAGCAAGACATAAAAAAGTCATAGTATACTAAGGCATAACCTCAAAAAACCTCACAGTATAGTGTGGCATAAAAACATTAATAAAAAGTCATGGTATAGCAAGACATAAAAAAGTCATAGTATACTAAGGCATAACCTCAAAAAACCTCACAGTATAGTGTGGCATAAAAACATTAATAAAAAGTCATGGTATAGCAAGACATAAAAAAGTCATAGTATACTAAGGCATAACCTCAAAAAACCTCACAGTATAGTGTGGCATAAAAACATTAATAAAAAGTCATGGTATAGCAAGACATAAAAAAGTCATAGTATACTAAGGCATAACCTCAAAAAACCTCACAGTATAGTGTGGCATAAAAACATTAATAAAAAGTCATGGTATAGCAAGACATAAAAAAGTCATAGTATACTAAGGCATAACCTCAAAAAACCTCACAGTATAGTGTGGCATAAAAACATTAATAAAAAGTCATGGTATAGCAAGACATAAAAAAGTCATAGTATACTAAGGCATAACCTCAAAAAACCTCACAGTATAGTGTGGCATAAAAACATTAATAAAAAGTCATGGTATAGCAAGACATAAAAAAGTCATAGTATACTAAGGCATAACCTCAAAAAACCTCACAGTATAGTGTGGCATAAAAACATTAATAAAAAGTCATGGTATAGCAAGACATAAAAAAGTCATAGTATACTAAGGCATAACCTCAAAAAACCTCACAGTATAGTGTGGCATAAAAACATTAATAAAAAGTCATGGTATAGCAAGACATAAAAAAGTCATAGTATACTAAGGCATAACCTCAAAAAACCTCACAGTATAGTATGGCATAAAAATGTCATTAGTGTACTAAGGCATGAAAATGTCATAGTATAGTAAGACATAAAAATGTGAAAGAATAGTAATGGATAAAAAGTCATGGTTTAGTAAGGTAGAAAAATGTCAAAAATGTCATAGTATAGTGAGGCATCAAAACATCAGAGAATAGTACGGCATAAAAACGCCAAAAAACGTCATAGTATAGTAAGGCATAAAAATGTCATAGTATACTAAGGCATAACGTCAAAAAACCTCACAGCATAGTATTGCATAAAAATGTCATTAGTGTACTAAGGCATAAAGATGTCATGGTTTAGTAAGGTAGAAAAAGGTCATAGCATAGTAAAACTCCTTACCTTGTTATTGTAAGGCAGCAGATCTAACCACTGCACTACCATGAAATCAAAAAATAGAGTTTAGTGTAGTTAGGCCTAAATACGTCAAAAAACATCACAGTATAGTGAGGCATAAAAACATCAATAAAAAGTCATGGTATAGTAAAGTATGAAAACGTCAAATGTCATAATATAGTAAGGCATAAAAATGTCATAGTATACTAAGGCATAACCTCAAAAAACCTCACAGTATAGTATGGCATAAAAATGTCATTAGTGTACTAAGGCATGAAAATGTCATAGTATAGTAAGACATAAAAATGTCAATAGTAAGGGATAAAAAGTCATGGTTTAGTAAGGTAGAAAAATGTCAAAAATGTCACAGTATAGTGAGGCATTAAAAGTCATAATATGGTGAAACTCCTTACAGAAAGGCTCCATGCCCAGGATTTGAACCCAGAACCTTCTCATAATAAGGTTCAGTGTAGTAAGGCCTAAAAACGTCAAAAAACCTCACAGTATAGTGTGGCATAAAAACATTAATAAAAAGTCATGGTATAGCAAGACATAAAAATGTCAAAACGTCATAGTATAGTAAGGCATAAAAATGTCATAGTATACTAAGGCATAACCTCAAAAAACCTCACAGTATAGTATGGCATAAAAATGTCATTAGTGTACTAAGGCATGAAAATGTCATAGTATAGTAAGACATAAAAATGTCAAAGAATAGTAAGGGATGAAAAGTCATGGTTTAGTAAGGTAGAAAAATGTCAAAAATGTCATAGTATAGTGAGGCATCAAAACATCAGAGAATAGTACGGCATAAAAACGCCAAAAAACGTCATAGTATAGTAAGGCATAAAAATGTCATAGTATACTAAGGCATAACCTCAAAAAACCTCACAGTATAGTATGGCATAAAAATGTCATTAGTGTACTAAGGCATGAAAATGTCATAGTATAGTAAGACATAAAAATGTCAAAGAATAGTAAGGGATAAAAAGTCATGGTTTAGTAAGGTAGAAAAATGTCAAAAATGTCATAGTATAGTGAGGCATCAAAACATCAGAGAATAGTACGGCATAAAAACGCCAAAAAACGTCATAGTATAGTAAGGCATAAAAATGTCATAGTATACTAAGGCATAACGTCAAAAAACCTCACAGTATAGTATTGCATAAAAATGTCATTAGTGTACTAAGGCATTAAAATGTCATGGTTTAGTGAGGTAGAAAAAGGTCATAGCATAGTAAAACTCCTTACCTTGTTATTGTAAGGCAGCAGATCTAACCACTGCACTACCATGAAATCAAAAAATAGAGTTTAGTGTAGTTAGGCCTAAATACGTCAAAAAACCTCACAGTATAGTGTGGCATAAAAACATCAATAAAAAGTCATGGTATAGCAAGACATAAAAATGTCAAAACGTCATAGTATAGTAAGGCATAAAAATGTCATAGTATACTAAGGCATAACCTCAAAAAACCTCACAGTATAGTATGGCATAAAAACATCAATAAAAAGTCATGGTATAGCAAGACATAAAAATGTCATAGTATACTAAGGCATAACCTCAAAAAACCTCACAGTATAGTATGGCATAAAAATGTCATTAGTGTACTAAGGCATGAAAATGTCATAGTATAGTAAGACATAAAAATGTCAAAGAATAGTAAGGGATAAAAAGTCATGGTTTAGTAAGGTAGAAAAATGTCAAAAATGTCATAGTATAGTGAGGCATCAAAACATCAGAGAATAGTACGGCATAAAAACGCCAAAAAACGTCATAGTATAGTAAGGCATAAAAATGTCATAGTATACTAAGGCATAACCTCAAAAAACCTCACAGTATAGTATGGCATAAAAATGTCATTAGTGTACTAAGGCATGAAAATGTCATAGTATAGTAAGACATAAAAATGTCAAAAAATAGTAAGGGATAAAAAGTCATGGTTTAGTAAGGTAGAAAAATGTCAAAAATGTCATAGTATAGTGAGGCATCAAAACATCAGAGAATAGTACGGCATAAAAACGCCAAAAAACGTCATAGTATAGTAAGGCATAAAAATGTCATAGTATACTAAGGCATAACCTCAAAAAACCTCACAGTATAGTATGGCATAAAAATATCATTAGTGTACTAAGGCATGAAAATGTCATAGTATAGTAAGACATAAAAATGTCAAAGAA